TATTGTCAATGATATTCACTCACTTTTTAGGTAAAGAACTAATCTTTGTCGCAGTGTGCGATTGTATCTTATAACAAGTGTCGTTCTCGAAAATCGAACTGTCGGTATTTTAGTCTTTATGAGAATCTAGCGGAACCTTAACCATTAGACTAACGTCTTGTTAGTAAAAGTTAATAAATTAATATAAATTAATTATAGGAAAATATTAATATAAAAAATTATAGTATTTACAATAATAATTATAATTAATAAATAATAATAATACATTTAATGGTAAGTATTACAGTACTAATTATAATAGTTTACTAATAAAAGCTATAATTACATTTATAATAAATATTATAATAGTAGTAATGATGATTATAATAATATCGAAAATGGTAATATGACTATAATAATTAAAAATGGTAATATTTATTATAATAATTAGTAGGAATTATTAATAATGATTATAATAATAACAAAAATGGTAATAATAAAATAATAATTAGTAAGAATGAGTGAATAAAATAATTATATATAAAACAAAATTAAAATAAAAGTACTTGCAAGGATGAGTCTCAAGTAAGTTGCAAGGTATCTGAAGACCTACTATCTTTATGGTGTAAGCATTTTATCTACATGTGACATTGTATTATGAGGAGAGATCCATTGGCTCTATGAGTAAGTTTAAAAAACTTATTTCACATATTAGCTATCAATTCTAGGGAAATCCAATGGTTTGAATTAGTGGATAAATCTAAACCATTAGATTTTCCTAGAATTGATGGCTAAGATAAGGATTAAGTTTAAAAAATTTACTCCTGAAGTAAGTGGATCCACACCCTTATATTATTTAGTTAAAACATATTTTGTAACCATATCAAATGAATATTATTACATATATCATATCGTAATTAATTGTTAAATTTGCATTTTTATTTTTTTAAAACACTAGTGGACTAAAGTGTTAAGTGTTAAATTTCTAGTAAAATTTCATTTGATTTAAACGGTCATGTTTAAAAGCAAAATTTTATTTATGCAAATTTCTAATAAGCTAAATTAATTTGGTCATGTTTGGATCTCTTTCGTTTCTAGAGTTGGAACTAGAAATTAAATAGGACTAGTTGGTGTTTAAAAAATCAAAACAACACAATTCAATATTATTCAGTTTTTTACTATTTTGATTTATTTTAGATCGATTATCAATTTTTAGTTTGGATTTGAATATCCCAACACAATATTGAGGTTGAGGCCTACAATAGGTCACAATGTGAATGTGATTAACAAAAAAGTGCAACAAGACCAACAAAATTACATTATAACTATAACACACATCAATTCACCAACCAACAAGACTTTGATTGATGAACGATATTTGTTAGGAAAGATAGCTCGAAATAGATTAATTTCTTACCTAACCGTTGAGATTAATACCAAAAAACACATTGATGCACCAACTTTTGTGTTTTTTCTCGACACATATTCTTTATCTAACTTTTGAGAAGACGGGTAAAACAAGAGGGAGACATAGATAATGAAACAGAAGCTAGAAAAGTGGAGAGAATCTGATATCATGATGGAGAAAAAGGTAAAGAGGTTAGGAGTTTGAAGATGTGAAGAAAGAAAGAAAATAAATGGAGAAAATGTGAGAGGGGAAGTGAATGAATCAATTGGTGTTGAAGGTTCTCACATGCGTGAAGCATCAATTTTGTGTTCTACGTGTCTTGCATCATGTTTATTTACAACTTAGATTTTGGATAGTATAAAACTAGGTTGTAGGTGTGAGTTAGTAATTGTATGTGTTACATATTAAATTAAAGTTGTTAAATAAAATTAGCTTTGTAATAAGGTGAAATTTGAAAAAAATGAATAAAAATATATACAAGATTTATCTAATTATTTATTAGTAAATAATTATTAACTGGAGTAATTAAATATATAAATAATTTAAAATCAAAATTTCCATTCCCTTATTTAACATTTTGTTTATAATTGAATATGTAATATTTTAATTTATTTTGAGATAAGCTGAGATCACAAAAATAATAGGGTTTTTAGTTTGATATAACGAATGTAATTTTCTAAACTTTAGTTTTAAAAGATAAAATTGGAAAGTGGATTATTAAAAGCTACTTCTAATTTCTAAACGTTATTTCATGTATTTTTTTGAAAAATATTTTTTAACGCTAACAACTTCTTTTTTAAAAACTACAAATTTCCTTCATTTTTTTTGTTTATGAACTGCTCTAGTAGCTTATTAATTAATCAAAAAAGTTATAAATTACTATATGTTTGTGTTTCCAGACAATACATTATAATTTCTTCCTACTCGCTAATAGTTTTTTTCTCATTTTTCCTGTGGGCACTTCGGTTTTATTTTAAACAAATTCAAAAAATATATATTCTCAATTTATAGAAAATTGTAAATTTCCCTTTATAGATTAATATCTTAATATACTTTAGCAATAAATGCATATTTATTTATTTTATAATTTTTCTATAAATACATAATACTTTATACCTTTAAAAACTTATATTGTCATATAAATATAATTATTCTATCTACTTTTTTTTTGGGTAGATTTGCCTACTAGAATATTTAATATTTAAATATGTACAATTATGCAGAAAGTAAATTAGTTTAGAGAGATATTCAACACTCCAAAAAAAATTCGTCTTTTACGAAGGAACTCGTTAGTAGTATGTATCTAAAAAAAAGTGGTCACAGTAAACCTCCATTGCTCATTCAACTTAAGTTTCTTGTCCCATTTATTTCGGTAAATAAATTAAAGAGTAAATATACATTTTGATTACTCATGTTTTTTATCTTACTAAGTTAGTCCCTAATAAATTTAAAATCTAATTTAGTCACCAACAATTTCAACGTGGACATACGTTAATCCTTTTGTCTATACCCGTTAGTTAACGCTAATGTTATGGTCTACATGAACCGCTAACTACTGACTTGGAGAGACGTTTACCATCAAGATGGGCATGTCTGACATGTCATTGGATTGGCTTGTATTTTTCTTTAAAATGACATTGTTTTGGATTTAAAAAAATTAATTTTTTTTAACTCAGATGTTTCTTTAGGTATTTTCTTCCATCCCCATTTCTTTATTCCATTGTTCACAAATCTCATTGATTCTCACTTGTTCATAGAAACGATCATGAGAGGAGTCATTGCTTAATAACCCACTTTGTTTTAGCCTACCCTCCTTCCATATTTATATTGTATAAAAAACATATGGAAGCATGGCATCATAGGTTTATTAGTAAATAATTATTATCTGTAATTAAATATATAAACAATTTAAAATCAAAATTTCCATTCCCTTATTTAATATTTTGTTTATAATTGAATATGTAATATTTTAATTTATTTTGAGATAAGGCGAGATCACAAAAATAATAGGGTTTTTAGTTTGATATAACGAATGTAATTTTCTAAACTTTAATTTTAAAAGATAAAATTGGAAAGAGAATTATTAAAAGCTACTTCTAATTTCTAAACGTTATTTAATGTATATTTCTGAAAAATAGTTTTTAACGCTATAAGCTTCTTTTTTAAAAACTACAAATTTCCTTCATTTTTTGTTTATGAACTACTCTAGCTTATTAATTGGATCAAAAAACTATAAATTACCTAAAAACTACAAGTTTGTGTTTCCAAACAATAAATTATAATGTCGCGACCCGATTTTCAGTTGGAAGATTGGCTCTGCGACTTAGGGAGAGGCGAACTCAATTTATACCCCTTTAATTGATTTGGAGTCGCCACTACGTTTTTGCGGTTAAAACGTAGACAACTCTAAATATGCCCAATTAGAATAATTTGGTCTTTAATCAGAGATTTTGAGCTCGAGAGTCAATTACGGATCGGGGAAGGTATTAGCACTCCGTCCGTCCGTATTAAAACGGTACTCTCGCTAATAATATGGACTTTTATACCCTTAAAATTATTTATTAAAATTCAGTAAATAAAAACAAAATGTTTTATTTTTTATTGTTGTGTCTGACAAGAATTCAACTTGCTCCTACGTATCCCTAGATACAATAGGGAAATCAAGGCTACGTAGTTCGGGTTCGAAAACTAATTGAATTGGTTTGGGTAGTTTAAAAATATGTTGAAGTAGTTAAGTCATACAATATGATTTTTTACAAAATACTTTTGATAAGGAATTAATAGTTTAGAGACAGTGTTGGTCGCTCTCCTTCTTCCCATTTTCAGAGAACTCAGAGTCGACTCGAACTGTGACCTTGCTATAAAAATTCCATTAAAATTTGTTTGAGTATAAATTCATTTAAGTAAATAAGATAATTTTTGGTTAACATATTTTGTAATATTGAATTAATAGTTTAGAGACGGTATTGGTTGTTCACCTTCTTCCCATTTTCAGAGAAATCAGAGTCGACTCGAACCATGACCTTGCTATAAAAATTCCATTAAAATTCGTTTTAAGTATAAATTCATTTAAGTAAATATGATAATTTTTAATTAACATGTTTCGGAATATGGAATTAATAGTTTAGAGATGGTATTGGTCACTCACCTTGTTCCCATTTTCAGATAAGTCAGAGTCGACTCGAATTATAACATTGCTATAAAAATTTCATTAAAATTCGTTTAAGTAATAAGATAATTTTTATTTAAAACATTTTGGAAGATAGTATGCATTGTTTGATGGTATTATTACCACTATAAATAAATTAGAGATTAAGTACCATGTATATAAAAAAAGGGCACAAAAAATGAATTAAAAAACAAAAGAACAAAAAAAAAAATAACAAGGTGGGGTTGGCTTGGGCCCAGAAAAGAAGATTGAATTGAAGGGGTGGGGGGTGGGGGGTTAGGTTTATTCCTTTCATTTTGGGTTTGGGGATTTTGAGTGGAGAGAAGTGAGAAGAGGAAGGAGTGAGAAGATGAAAGAAGAGAGAAGACGAGGGAGAAGTGAGAAGACGAAGGAGGAGAGAATCGTGAGTTCTCTCGGTGGGGATTACTCCGGTCTTCATCTCCGATGGCTCTGTTTCGGATCCACGTCCGTTTTCGAAGCCCCTCTCGGCAGCAAATCGCAAGGTAATCCATTTCCTCTTTGTCTAGGATTCTTTGTTTATGCTTATCATAGCCACTTTCTTGGTGGCTATGTATCAAATTCGAGACCAAGGTTAAGCCAAGGTCTCGAACTCCTCATCCTAATCTAAGGATTGATATCCGAATGTAATCTTCCTTTTTTTGATGTTATTTTAGAGATTAAAAACTGTGTTTCTTAATTCACGTTATCGATTATCATTATTGTGCCTTGCCTCTTTTTGGCCATGGAAGAGATGCATATAATTATAATAGATATGTCCTAAGTATGAGTAAATAACATGGAAGAAAGGAGATTGTGATACCTGTTGGGCTTACCGAAACTAGAGTATGAGTTGTAGATGTATTCTGTTATCTGCTTGCCCCCCTTTGATCCTAGCCTGATGATGCTCGTAATAGAAAGACGTCGAGTATGTGGTAGTTTATTGTGTATGGTGTTTTTTATGGATATTGCTTTCTTGTTGACTTTCCTTGCCCTGAAACACCATTTTGATTGCTTTGATTTGATCCATGTGGTTGAGGGTAGTTATGGATTGGTATTGTCTACGTGATTGCCTATCTTGAGTGAATATGTATAGTATTTTGTAGTGGTTGTGTAGGCTCTCTTGTAGCTTATTGTTTGTGGGTTAGAGATAGGTATCTCTTTTTGGATATATATGTGATAATCAGGATGACTTTTTTGTGGTTGCACTCTTCTTTATAGTGCTTATGCTTGATATGTATTATGATGTGAATTCCAATCTGAAAAATCCCCCCCTTGTGATATCAATCTCATTCTTTTTATATTTGCTCGAGTTATCTGATGATAGACTTTTGAGCTGCCAATTGTGAGTCAATAATGTATCATAACTCCTCTCTTTACTCTGACTGCTTAATGATTATTTCCCTTTATGCTAACTGTTTATGAGTGTGTAACTGAAAGAGAAATGCTAACAGCCATGATTATCATTACACCACTTCAATTGCTAAGCAATAATCATAACCTTCTGGCTTCTTATTTTCAGGATGGGGAATGAATTCTTTTTTAACTTAAGATTCTCTTATTGCGCATGCTGATTCCGAATCTGCTTGCATGTTGTAGAGAAGGCCATGCAGACGAAGACAAACCAAGATTCCTATTGTATTTTTTCTTCAATGCTGCATGAACAGAATTCTAACTTCTACCCCATTCACGGATATTAATTGGGATAATTCTCCACAGCAACAAAATTAAATTGTTGCCAATTAAGAGCATCCATCAACAGCTATAGTTTTTTTTAGTGGTGGAAAACTTAATTGTATTGTAACATTCTTGAAGTCTCTATAATACATTTCCTTAGAAGCAATTTTTTATCTACTTGCATTGATTATGAAAACACCTATGGTAACTACCACATTCAGGAAGTTTCGTGGCAAAAGTTCATTGTTATCAAGCGATATAAGATAAATAAGTTCATGGTTGAAATATAGTAGGACCTTTGGGATATGATATATTGAGGTCATGATCCTAAGATTAGAAGAGAAATACATAAAGCTCATCAACGAGGGTTCACATATAGTTTCTTCCTACTCGCTAATAGCTTTTCTCATTCTGTGGGCACTTCTCTTTTATTTTAAACAAAGAGTAATGTTATATCTTCCCACTAATTCTCCTACTCACAAAAAAGTGACATGTCACAAAGTGATATTTTATTTATTAGTGATTGGTTTACAAGTGACATATGTCACTTTTTTATGAGTATGAGAATTTAGTATGAGAATATATCATTTTCCTTAAACAAATTCAAAAAGTATATATTCTCATTTTATAGAAAATTTTAAATTTTCCTTTATAGATAATATCTTAATATACTTTAGCAACAAAAGCATATTTACTTATTTTATAATTTTTCTATAAATACATAATACTTTATACCTTTAAAAACTTATATTGTCATATAAATATAATTATTCTATCTACTTTTTTTGGGTAGATTTGTCTACTAGAATATTTAATACTTAAATATGTACAATTATGCAAAAAGTAAATCAGTTTAGAGGGATATTCAACACCTCCAAAAAAAAATCTTCTTTTACGAAGGAACTCGTTAGTAGTATGTATCTAAAATAAACTAAAAAAGTGATCATAGTAAACCTCCATTGCTCATTCAACTTAAGTTTCTTGTCCATTTATTTTAGTAAATACACATTTTGGTCACTTATCTTTTTTAATCTTATTAATTTAGTCCCTAATAAATTTAAAATATCAATTTAGTCCCAACAATTTCAACGTGAACACACGATAATCCTTTTATCCATACTTGTTAGTTAACGTTAACGGTGTGGTTTACATGGACCACTAACTACTAACTTGGAGACACGTTTTCCGGGTGTCTGACACGTCACTGAATGACATGTATTTTCTTTAAATGACCTTGTTTTGGGTTAAAAAAAATTAATCCAAAGGGAGTTTTTAGGTTTCTTCTTCCATCCCCATTTCTTTATTCCATTGTTCACAAATCTCATTGCTTCTCACTTGTTCATAGAAGCAATCAGGAGAGAGGAGTCCTTCCTTAATAACCCACTTTGTTTTAGCCTACCCTGTTCCCATATTTATAGTGTATCAAAAACATATTGATGCCCTGCATCATAGGTTTAACATAAAAACATTCACCCATTTAATTATTTATAGTGTATTAAAATTACAAAAAAAAAATAGTATGAATCGAGGTGACTAAGAAAACAAGAAATAGTTAAAACACAAACAAAATAACAAAAAACAACCTGCAATTTATTCCTACCAGGATGAAATGAAAATCTTATTTTTCTTGAAGGGGTCCATTTAATTTTCCTCCATAATCATTTGTTGAACATCTATTTGCTTTCTTTCGTCTACTTATATGAATAAGAATCCTAAACAGATGAAACCACAGATTCAAGAGCTGACTCATCTGTTGAACATGATGAATCACACATGATATCACCCACAAGACCCACTGAGAACCAGTGGGATTTGGGGACAATGTAAGAGAGAAATGGGGTTGGAAGAAAAAAACCTAAAAGGACATCGTTTTTTTTAATTAAAAAATTACATTTTACACGTTATCTAGTGACATGTTAGACAAGTCCACGTGACAAAAAACGTCTCAGTAAGTCAACATTTAACGGCCAATGTTGACCATACGATAACTGACAGATATAGATAGAATGACTAACGCTGATTAATGTTGAAATTGTTGGGGATTAAATTGATAATTTAAATTTATTAAGGATTATCTTTGAAAAAGCACAAGGAACCAAAATGAGTATTTAATGTAACTTAAAATATCCTTGTCCTCTAGCCCAACCCTTCAAATCTCAACTATTTCACTAATTTCTCTTCGGAACCCAAACCCTCCAGATTTCTATGGAACCTTTGGAGAACCACCTTTCCTTCCGTCACCATCTCCATTTGTGAAGAAACTCGTGAATAGTGGATCCTCCTTTCGTGATGGATCGTAGTGTATCACGAAATTGTCGTTAACGAGATTTTGATTATCATTGATAATAGTAAAGAATTTCATCCCATAATTGACGTAAATGAATAAAGTCAATAAATTGAGATAACATAAAATCAAAGATCTGATTAAGAAACCATGCGATTAAACGTTGATCAAGTTCCTCGCAAATTCCAAACTTAAGATTTACATGACCATCTTCTATGAGATAATGAGGAGGGGAGCATAAGAAGTATGAACAAAACAAAAAAGTTATTCTCATAAAGAACATATTATACATGTTATCTTGGTGCGAATCAACTTTATTGTTTTATTCACATTTCTTATATTCACCTCGTTGTCTCGTAGAAGTTGATCGTTGCAATGATCATGTGAATCTTGAGTTTGCAAATAGTGAGGAACTTGATCAACCTTTTTCTAAATCGCATCTTTGCTATCTCAATTTATTGACCTTGTTCATTTGTGGCAATTATGGGTTGAAATTCCTCATTGGTGTGAATGACAATTAAAATTTTATTAACAATAATTTTTAAGAGTTATTTGTTGATTTAAATGAACAAATTCTACCTGTTGTTAAGAGTTATATGTTTGATTAAATCTTATTAATTGTTAAGAATTAGTTGTTGATTTAAAAATGAATGAATTCAACCGACTGTTAAGAGTTATATATTGAATTAAAAATAAATAAATCTTATAAAGTTTTTTTTATAGGAGATAAAGAATCCTATCAATTTTTTATAAATATTCTTTTTAAAAGTGACATGTTTCATGAGTGTTTGTATCTTTGGATTTGTGTCCATCTCTAACTTTGATTGTGTTGCTCCAGTGCATGTCATATGTTCTTTGATTGTGAAGTCATTTTCTTCCATTCTTTTTTAATATGTTTTACATGTATATAGTATTACTTCTTTTCATTTTGTTCCATTTTTTATTATTATTATTATGACTCAATATCTCTATACGATTCATTTGTTAATAATTATTTATAATAGTTCCATTTCTTTAATAATAAACAAACAGCAGAAAAAATATTAATGTAAATAATAATATGATCATTTCTTTGATAAAATGATTATGGTATATTTCACTATTAAACAGTTAATAAAAGACAATCTATAATATTCTTATGATAATATGTTTTATAAAAAAAACATTTCCCCTGATATTTTTATTTCAATTTTGATTTTAAAAAACATCAAATTAGAACAATTTAAAAAGAAGTTCCCACCAAGCTCATATTGGTGCAATATTTTAGTCATTTTCCTCTACATGACACTAGGTCAAGTCTCGGTGATTACCTTAAAATAAAATATGTCTTTAAACAAATGATTAGCTATCAGTACGATAAAAAAATATTTTATTAGTTTTTATTATAAATATTTTTTTGCGGAAAATATCATAACACTATTGTCTCTTATTAATAATTTAATAGTAAAATATACAATATTTATTTTATCGAATAACTTTTATTAAATTCATTATATTGTTGTTTACATTAATATTATTTATATTATTAAAAAATGAAATTATAATAAACAAATATTAACAAAAGAATCATACCTGGCTCAAAAGTTATAAATAAAATTTTGGATAAATAATATAACAAAAGTGAAAAGAAGTGATATATGTTATATATATTAAAAACGAAGAGAAGAATATGATCTCTAAAATAAATTAGCATAAGATATGGATTCTAGCAACACAATAAAAAAAGGGAGGGATTCACTTACTCCAAGAGTAAGTGGAAAAAACATACTTAAAATTAGTGAGTATATCTAAACTATTAAATTTTCCAAAATTGGATGACTAAGATGAATAATAAGTCTTTTCTATTACTGTTGGAGTAAGTGGATCTCTCCCCAAATTTTTTTTAGAGATTGACATAGATTTAGAGATAGAAGCACAGATAAAAAATGAGGTTAACAACACAGTCAACAAAGCTCAGGTAGAAATCCAAGGACCAATGTGAGGCAAGACATCAATGAATACACATACATAAGTTATTCTCTCTAGTGCATATTGATAGTGACTTTCAGAGAGAGAATTGTATCGTCCTTGTGGATGCTTAGATAGAAAACTAGGTTTTTTGATGTTTTATCGCATGCATTATTTAAATTTATACATCTTTTAAATGAATAAATAATTCTTAGCAAGTGGTAGAAATTAAATTAACAGATAACTATTTACAATCACTAAAATTTATTCATTTAATTCAAAAGATAAATCTTAACAATTGGTATGATTTATTCATTTTTTAAAAGTCAGTTGCATTGTATAATTAATTTTTGGTTCTCTCTCTTTTACTTTAGACAGAACAAAATTAGGTATGGAAAAACTTATTTATTGGAAAAGAATTGAGGGAGGTATTTTTATGCTTCTTATCTCTATGATAGGGTATGCATGTAGTTTCTCCATGATAACAAAAATATCAATGGTGTGATTTTTATGAGTAATACTTGAGGGATGAACAACCACGTACCGCGAAATGGATTAATTACTTACCCAAAAAGTACGAGAAAATACAATTGGTAGTACTAAAAATATATATTCCATAACTCACATTTAATGTGTTTGTAATATCTTTTTAACTCCTAACTTCAAAATCAAATAATTTATAACTTTGTTTGACATAATTACTAGTTAAAATCTTATAAGTTATTAGTTGAATATATGAAATTCTTTAATAAGATTAACCCCTAAATCAATTAATTTATAGTAAGTACATACAATCTATCATTTAACTTTCAAAAGTAGAGATTATAATTGAGTTACTTTGGTAAATAAACCTATTTATTAAACATCCAAAAATATATTATTGAGTTTAATATTTATGTATTATTAATATAAGTTTTTTTACCCTCTTAATATATCATTCATTATTCTTTTCTATCATTTTTGTTTAGGAGA